CCGTGTCTTTTGTGGAATAGATCCTCATTGAGTATTTGCTGAATGAATTTACCCTGGTGCCAGAGTTCAGATGTGGAGCTCTTCTCTTGTGCCTTTTTTTAGATTTGGCATTGGCCGTTTCACTACAGAGGAGGAAGTGGACTACACAGTAGAGAAGTGCATTCACCATGTGAAGCGTCTTCGAGAAATGAGGTATGCACTATGCACCAGAGAGCCTTTGGAAGAAATTGTAGTGCTGGCTCCTCTCTTGTCCTCCAGCTATGTATTCACACTGCCAGAAACCAACCTTTGAGAATACTTGGATTTTAGGATTTAGAAGTTCCACAATGTTGGGGCCCCTGGCTGGCTTAGTCGGTAGAGCATGTGATTCTTGATCTTGGGGTCGTGAGTTCAAGCCCCACATTTGGCATGGAGCTTACTTAAAAATAAATACATACATACTTATATACATAAATAAAAGTTCCACAAAGCCAGACAGTGGATCTCCTTGGCTCCTTGTTTTTGGAATGGGACAAAAGTGTTTTTAAAAACTAAAGAACTATGTAAATTCAGATGTTTTTCATTATTATAGTATTAATATCAATACAAAATCAGCAATTTTTAGACTAAGTAGAGGAAAACTCTCTTTAAGATAGGGATTCTTAATTTGGGTTGTGTGGCTAGACTTTAGGAGGTACATGATAGCCCTGAAATTGTATGCTAAATATTGTGGTGTTTTGCATTTTCTTTGAAAGAAAGTTCATAGTTTTCATCAAATTCTCAAAAGGTTAAGAACTACTCTTCAGAGTGTTCTTTGTGAAGGTTCTTTATAAGCAAGGTCAAGAATGCTTTCTCAGCCATTTGCCACCGGGGCTTCCCTTAATAGCCATAGAGCTCTACTTCCTCTTGGGGACATTGAGGACTCTGGAATTTTTCAGAGTCTGGCTCCATCCTGGTTAAATTCAACTTTCAGGATTCTCTTGGTCTAGTTATTGAGAGTGAGGAAATTCGGGTATATGCCCTTCTTCCCTTTATGAACTTTCCTAGGCCTTTCTGGGCTCTGGATTTTCCTTCCCAGGGTCTAGTTGTATTGCTTAAATATCTACAGCTTGCTTAGTTTTCTTAGGCTCAAGATTCCTCCTTGGCTTGGCTTTTTCATACTCTTTGGCACACTCAAAGGGCATTTCTACTGACCATGCTGCAAAGTCTTATTCTTTTTTTTTTTTTTTTAAAGATTTTATTTATTTATTTGACAGAGAGAGACAGCGAGAGCAGGAACACAAGCAGGGGGAGTGGGAGAGGAAGAAGCAGGCCTCCCGCTGAGCAGGGAGCCCGATGTGGGACTCGATCCCAGGACCCTGGGATCATGACCTGAGCTGAACGCAGAAGCTTAACGACTGAGCCACCCAGGCGCCCAAGTCTTATTCTTCTTATTTGTGGCTTCAGCATCTTCACCCTACTGAATTCAGCCTGGTCTCATTAGCCCTCAGCTAAAGCTTTACAATGTGAGTCTATGACAATAAGTGACCTCTAAAGAGAAAGGACAGAAAGGAGATGGCTAATTTTAAGAGCCATGGAAAATGTCATACATAGAAAGGCATGCTGGGAATGCATGGCATAAAGGAGAGGGATAAGCAAAGAACAGAATGAAATTGGGTAGAAGAATATTAACTGGGGAAATCCAAACCAGAATCCCATATTCATAACACATTGAAGTAATATCTGGTCTGGGAATATTATCTAAGGCATTGAAGCTGAAGGGAGTCAGAGCTTAGCAGATTTACCAGCAGCAGTTCTTGTGTGAGATGGGACGCTCAGTTCTAATATCCGAAAGATACTTTTGAATTGGAACCAGGGATGTTGGAAGCACAGTCCAACTCTGGGGAGATGAGGCTGATAGGAATTGGTTAAGGGTGCTACATACCTAGGTAATTATGGCTAACCTAACAGAGAAGTAGAGCAAAACCCAGAAAGAAGTGTGAAAAGTGGTCCACGTGTGATAGGTATGAGTAGAGAGGCTGAAACTTGCTGCTTACACAGGTTCCAAGGGTCTTGGTATTACCAGGGAAACTGTGTCCATAGTCTGTCATGAATGGGATGAGAGCTCCTTGAATATGACCACAACCTGATGCCACTGGCTTGGCCCCACTGGAGCTGAGCCTGGGCTATGCAGTTATTGTTTGTTGGCAGCTGTGGAGAGGCTAAAGCTGACAAGGATTTAAAGAGAGCTGGGAGGGCGTCTGGGTGGCTCAGTTGGTTAAGCGTCTGCCTTCGGCTCAGGTCACAATCCCAGGGTCCTGGGATCAAGTCCCACATCTGGCTCCCTGCTAAGTGGGAAGTCTGCTTCTCCCTCTCCCCCTCCCCCCGGCTTGTGCTCTCACTCTCTCTCTCAAATGAATAAAATCTGTAAAAAGAGGGAGAGAGCTGGGAAAGACTTGCTAACCACTATGTTGGGTCTGTCAGGGCAAGAAAGTGGAGAGACAAGAATGGATGAAGAGAATTCAGGGCTCAGGGTTCAGAGACCAATGTCGGTTGTTTCCTATCTAAGCCCTTACTCACCCAATGTCTCTTTCTTTTGGCAGCCCTCTCTGGGAGATGGTGCAGGATGGCATTGACCTCAAGAGCATCAAGTGGACCCAACACTAGAAGAGTGGGCCTCTGACTTTGTGCTGACCTCGCTTCTCCTGCCTCACCAACCCATGCACATCTGGATACCTTGTTGTACCCAGTGGGTGTTTCATGTTCAAACCAGAATTGGTGTAGCCCAGTTGACTTCAGCATCAGCCCACCATCAGACTAAGATAGAAACACAAGAATACTATCTTTCCTGAGCCTCAGCTCCTTTGGTGGGGAACACTCACCATTTCTCTCCAGGAGTCCTTCTCTGGTCTTATGGTGAATGGATGTTCTTGGTGGGGAAAGCCAGAGGAACTGGAAGAAGGTTCTTTGTTCAGAGACCTCAGTGCTCTGTGTGGACATTTGAATTGTTGCTTACTACTGGTCAGCAAGACTAATTCCTTCAAGAACAAGCATAATCAACTACTATTTAATTTCTTTTTTGGCTCCAGAGCCCACCTCTTCATGTTGATTATAGACTGACAGCAAGTTTCTTAGAAGGCTTGTCTACTGTTCTTGTCCCCCCTTATTTTTTTTGACCTAATGGAGCGAGAAATATCTATATGATTCCACCTACTATTCTAATACTTTGTTTCTTTTTAAAAATTGTTAATTTGCAGATTAGAGAAATAAAATCACCTTCCTGTATTTAATTTGTGACTTCATGAAAGTCTCAGAGAAAATTCCAACCTGTGGTTGGGAATCAGGAACAAACTACCACTCCACCTGATTCCCATAAATGACTTTTTAAGGAGGTGTTACATAAGCAAAAACGTGATTTCCAGCCATGGAAAGACCTGGAGATGAATGAGAAATGAAAAGGAGCTGGAAGAATAAAGGGCCTGAAGTTTAAAAAGGCATGATGTGTTTGAGAAACCAGTAGGCTAACATAGCTAGAGTAGTTCTTCCATTTGTGGGTCTGACACTATAGGTGAATAGATACCAGCACTAAAAAAAGCAAGAGAAAAAAATTGAGTACATCACACATATTTTAAGTATTTTGCTTGCTTATTTATTTATTTATTTATGAATAAGTAGGCTGTACAATCAGTGTGTAGCCCAAACCTCTGACCTTGAGATCAAGAGTCAGACGCTTAACCCACTGAGCCACCCAGGCACCCCTTATTTATTTATTTTTAAGTAATCTCTACAACCATGTGGGGTCCAACCTTCAACCCTGAGATCAAGAGTCACGTGTTCCACTGACTGAGCCAGCCAGGCGCCCCTTTATTTTGATTTTATATTTGAATGTATATACCTGGTTGCAAATGTATTATGTGAGTGATGGTCAAAAAAGTTTGAAAGCTACTAGCTAGAAGTATGGTAAATGCAGATGGATGGGGGAGGAGGTTTTTAAACAATTTTTTTAATTTGAATAATTTTAGATATAAAGTTTGCAAAGATTGTACAGAGTTAGATGGCCATCACCCAATTTCTTCTAATTTTAACATCTAATATAAAACTCCCATGGTATATTTGTCAAAACTAAGAGATTAACATCTGTACATTAGTAACTTCAGATTTAATTCCGATTTCACCAGTTTTCTCACTAATGCTCCTTTTCTATTCCAGGAGCCAATCTTGGATACAACATTGCATTTAGTAGATTTTGTTTTCAGTGCACTGTACTATACTTGCAAAGAGTATATATAACAAAGTATAGGTTCAGTTTAAAAAGGTGGCCTGGGGGGCGCCTGGGTGGCTCAGTTAAGCATCTACCTTCAGCTCAGGTCATGATCCCAGATCCTGGGATCGAGCCCCGCGTCAGGCTCCTTGCTCAGCAGGAAGCCTGCTTCTCCCTCTCCCTCTGCCTGCCACTCCCCCTGCTTGTGCTCCCCGCCCCCTCCGTGTCGGGCTCCTTGCTCAGCGGGAAGCCTGCCTCTCCCTCTCCCACTCCCCGTTTGTGTCCCCTCTCTCGCTATGTCTCTGTCAAATAAATAAATAAAATACTTAAAAAAAGACTGGTGGGTAAGGCTCCCTGGACTGAAATTTTTAAATGGGAAAAAATAGCAGGTTTCGGTTCTGCCAGGGCATCATCAACAAAACCGTGCACTACTTTGTGGTCCATTTCATCCTCAAAACAATCACGCGAAGAAGGCACTATTTATTCCCTTTCGCATCAGATTGAAGAAAAGTAACTAGCACAAAGTCCCGCAGGGAGGGGCCGAACCACACACTCTGAACCCAACCCACTCCGCAGCGTCACTCTCCTTAGGCGGGGTTAGTGCGCAAATGTCGCACGCACAGACTCAAAGTTCCTCTCGCCACAAATACCCGCAACTTCCGGGAGATTGCCCAACAACCTCAGCGCGCTTGCGCCACCCCGCCCCGTGACGTCTCCATTCCGTCCCTCCCCTTCTGGAACGCGGAGCTGCTGAGCGGGCTGTCGGCCATTTTGTGAAGCGGCGAAAGAGGTGGTGGCTGCTGTGGGCTCCCGGGAAGCCGTTCGGGCTGGGGCTGTCGGCCGCGGGGCGGAGGCACTCGCGCGGGGGGTAACTCGGGTCTGGGTTCGGGTGCCGCGCAGCTCTCCCCGGTAAGACTCCCGCAGCCCGGAACGGGCGGGGCTGTGCGGGGCTCGAGCCGCCCCTTGGTGGCCCGGGGCGGGGCTTTCGGAGGCCTCCGAGCCCGCCGCAGCAAGCGCCCCACACAAAAGGGTCGCGGCATGGCTGCGGGGGGGCCTGGGGAGCCGCTTGCGCCTTTGAAGCCTGAGAGGATGCAGGAAGGACGCAAGAGAGGATGAGCCTGCATACCGAAGTGGGGACGAGGCCAAAGGGAGGACGCCCCCGTGGTCTGAGAGGGAGGAGGCCACACCTGGGTGGCCCAGCGGCCTACGAACTAATGGGGATTGCAGTAAAAACACACCTACCTCCCGAATGAGCGAGATTTTCTATGCTTCCAAAAGGGACAGAGATTGTAACTACATCTCTGTGCCCCGTAGTGAGGAGATAAACGTAGTGAAGACACTCCCTCCATCCGAAGTGGAAAGGAGGCTCCTGTGGCCTAACAGGAAAAGGGGACTAGAGTCTGGACACACCTGTGGGGAGGAAGCTGCAGTCGGTACACTCTTGTGAGTCTAGGAAGGAAGTCTGAGAACTGGCCGCCTTCGTGGTCTGAAGGTGGAGGGGGTTGCAGGGAAATGCTTCCAAGGCTCAGCGCTGGGCGGGGTTTATCCTCGAGGGTGTCGGCGATTTGAGAAGCCGGCCTCTGTTGTGAGAAAGGGGGTGAGTACGCCTCCCAAACCTCTGAGAATAGTAGTTAGGATGCCAGGCCCTGGATTCCCAAGCAGGGAAGGAGCTGCAAAGAGCAGCACCTTTACATATCCCTTGGGAGACAGCCTCCAGCACTGAAAGAGGAGCAGGCCCAATAGGAGGTGGAGGGTGGGTGCTTTCGATCAGTGAACGGAGTTTTCTTTAGTGGAGGCTGGAGGTTTTAGTTGGCAGCCACGTGAAATAGGTGGGTGGGGCTTCGAGAATCTACAGTTAATGTCGGGGATGGACACCAGTGCAGGAGGCTTAGCTGCCAGATTGTAAATGCATGGACTTCATGTATACCTGTAATGTGTACTTTATAGTGAAAAATATCAGCGGCTCCGGTGAAGATAACTTTGGGTTATTCAGCACAAAACATGCTGGGAGTTTTGTGCCCTGATTTGCAGGTTCCGTAGGAGAGGTTTCTGGACTCAAACTGTCCTTGACTCCTGGATTTCCAGAGATGATTTAATGTAAATTGTGGTAGTCAGGAACCATTCTGTATTATTCAAGAATAGTGTAATTCCAGTCAGTATAACCTGAGAAAAAATGTAATTGCAGCTGAGGGATTGTTGAAGGAGGGACTTGTGACTGGAGTGTTCTTAGAGCTTCTTGCTTGAATGGTTTAAAATCGTGTAGTTTTTGTAAAATGCAGTATTAGTAAAATGAATTGCATTGGACTTTGTTACGTAGTTTATATTGTTAGTATTTCAGAGCATTTGCTGTTCAAAAATGTCCTACAAGTCTGGACATACGGGCTGATTTTGTTTTGTTTTATAGAAATGTAATACAAGACTGGTTGTACTCGTTTTTGAAATTTGGTGGTTTTGACCGAATAGACCATTTCTGGATTTAATGGGAAGTAATTGTGTTCAGGCATTTTCCAAGAATATTAAAAAGTTGGGAAGAACTGCTACAGGTGGTTAAAATAATTTGATGGTAATTTTTTAAGAACATGAAATGTTTGGCGTGTTTATATAAAGGTTGAGGACGTGCTCAGTATTATTGCTGGAAAATTTTTTAACGAAACAGGGAATGCATATTATATCATCTTTATATGCTCGATTAAATACTTATTTTGTTTATGGATTGTAATGCATAATTTGTGTTTGTGTTCATATCTGTTAGGTGAAAAATGTGAAGCTTTAGAAACCATTGTGGTAGTTACTTGGAACCTATTGTTATGTGCTAATATCAGCATACTTCTGGCTTCTTTCACTTTCTTGTGACATGCCAAATGTTTTGATGATTGCATATTGAGAGTTTGGGGGTGTTGGTACGGTTTTTAGATGTGAAACTTGATTTTGTGGACCAGTGTGTATTCCAGGTGCTGGAATCCAGTGACAATGTTCAAAACGTTTTTATTCCATTTTGTAGAGAGCCACTCCATCTTTTGGTTTAGATGAATATTTTCTTCTATAGATGTTGTAGAAAGAATTTCTAAGTGTCAGTAATTGCACAAAAGATGCTTTTAGATATCTCTCTCTAAAATCTAGGGACTGTTGTCCATTTCTGTATCTCCTGTCCCGGCCACAAGTCCTTAATAAATGTTTGTAGTATAAATGAATGTTGTTAAATGTTTAGGTCAACTAAGCAGAAAAATAACTTGATCTAATTTATAGTTTATCAGATTTTACTACCACCACTCATATACCTTTTGGTTTGCAACGGGTTTATTTCATTAAGTTTCAAGCAACCTTTTAAGTCTTAAGACCAACAGTGAGGGTGAATATGGTTGGCTAGGTTAGAAGTGATATTGTTGCTTTTAAGTTTAAATCAAGATAATGAACATATTTGTTGGCATTTGTGGGGGGATTGAAAAATAATATTATAGTCTTTTTGGCAGGAAGAATATATATCTTAGAAATGTCTTTTGGTTTGCCACTTTTGAGAACTTTCTGGAGGTTAATGGGAAAGTTGAATAATGAGCTGTCTGAAGGATTCATGTCCCTCAGTGTCAGAAGAATTGTTTCATTAAGAATGATCCCAGAATCTGAAATGTGATTCATTTGGGGATGGGGACAAAATCAAGTGGATGAAGCTGTGTTTTTTTCCATAATGCCTACCATAATATGATTATGCGGCTTATAGCATTGTGCCCATTATGATTGGTTCTCTGAGGTGAATATTTGAGGGGTGCTGGTTTTTGTATTTTTTCAATCTAAAGAACTTAGCTCTGCTGTACCCTGGTTATTGTTGATTAAAGACTGACAACTGAACAAAGTTAAAATTCACTTTTTGATGTTTATCACCAGATGAAGAGTGGAAATGGTTAAGAGCAACTGATTTCTGTTTTGGCTTCCTGATAAAAGAGGATTGTTGTCAGACATTTTACTCTGAAATTCCAAGTGATTGAAATGACTAGTAAATAAAATATGCCGTGTCATAATAATATGCTAAATGTTCATAGCAGATATTTGTAATTTGTTCGTGTATCGTATTTCTTTAGCTGAAGCAAAGCCACTATGTTAGGACTAAGTCCTAACAAAGTGGAAAAGTATACTAGAGCAACCTTTTGTTTTAAGATCTTATGAAATATATCAGTGAATTTAATGGCAAATCAGGCCCATTTTCTCCTTTGTACCTTTATGCTTTACAAATAGGTAAAACGTGTTTTAGATTGTTTTTGTTGCATAGAACTGTTTCAGTCTTATCCTTCTAAAATTCACCAAGTCTTAAGGTGGTTGGAATGGATTTTTCATTTTGGGATCCTGCATTCTGTTGCTAGCTGACATTTAGAACACAGGAATGAGTAGTTCCTGGAGAACAGTGGTGCCTCTATTAAATTATTGTGCTCTTTACAAAGTGAGGTGTTGAAAACAAAAGTACTACTTCAGTTCTCAGTTTCTATTTACTTTGTCCATTTGAAGGGAGAAGTGTAACACCAAGTTACGAAGTTCTAGCTTCTAGCCTGAACTTTCTGCATACTTTTCTTTGGAATGGGTTGATGTGGGCCTTCCCCTTTGCTTAAATAGAAAAGATTCATGAGTTTATTTCTAGATTGATTTTGTACTTTAAATTGAACAACGTAAAATTTGAGGCATTTGCCGAATTCAGCTGGAACGTCAACTTTTGTGGAATGAGATTTTCCTTCTTGTTACAGTAATTTCTGGCAACCGTTTAGAAATTTTTGATAGTAGGTCTAGTGTGTTCCCTTTGGGAGTAACTGGCTGACTCTAAACTTGTTCATATCCAGATGGACATTTGGAGGCTTCTTGGGTCTAGAAGGGAAGAGGCTGAGGAACCTGTTTCCCTTACCTTCAGGGCACATATCCTGGCCCCATACCAGACCTTTTGAATTGTAATCTCCAGTGGGGGATCATCTGTTAATCATAAATGCTTAACTAGAAAACTGTGGTTCTGTTGGTTATAGAGTCAAACTTGTACATTTAGAAAATACTACAAAATTAATGCTCTTCCTCTTTGAGCATAACCTTTACCTAAAAGCAGGCTTTTTTGTGTGTTTCATGTTTCCCTTTGTGACCTGTTAGATAAACTTCTAGGTGTGGCTTTTAAATAAAGAGTTTTAAAACTCTTTAGACCTAATTAGAACTGATTTGTACAACACATAAAAAATTAATACAGTGCTCTGGGCTTTTGAAAGCATTGCTTTTGACATATGTGCGTAGCTTTTGTGACAAAACAATCTCACTCTTCAGTAATTTGAGTAGTTGTCTAGAAGATGTTTAGCTTGTCCTTTAGGAAAAAATTGGAGTAACACTAAAATTTTTTAATATGTTTTACTTTTTGGTGATGAATAATAAGCTCATAGGTGGTATCTCGAACTTGAAAGATAGTTAAAAATGAGCATCGTTCTAAGTAGTGTTCTGTTGGTAATCTTGATACTTAACCAGTGATGATTTTCTTCTGTTTCTCTGAATTAAAAAATGATCTTTTTGAATGTAGTTGTTTAATTATTTGGTCTTATATATTGCTTGTGAATTGTTCACAACTTCACCAATTTGGGAGAAATTCCAGTAAGAGATGAGTGACTCATTTTTACTTTGGGGAGTCTTCTTAATATGCCAGACATTTTTGAGGAATTTTTTTTTTTTACAAGTTTCTTGGAATAGTTTTGGTGTTAGAAGGTAAAGAAAGCACTTTTCCTTAAGATTTCGAACCCCAGTGGTTTTAAATAGGAATTAATCATTATAGCCTGAGCTTTCACTTCATTTACGTTTCTCAATGCTTGATGCTATTTTGGTACAAAGGAAAATATTTTGAAAGAGCAATTGCAAGAATTTCCATAAGTACCCTTGAATTGATGACTTTGTCTTTTGTCTTAGAACTGTTTATGTGTGAACTTGTGCTTTTTCATCAAGTGTTTGGTGGGACCTGAGGAAATAGGTTGTAGTTGGACTTGTATTAATGGAATTTTCTGGACTGGTTTAATCATCAAGTGATAAAAAGTAATTACCAGGTGTGAAGCTGAGCTTTATGACTGTTTTAGTTTTTAATTGATTCATTCTTGGACTAATTTATGGCACATTCTTGATGTATGTAAATATATAATGTTTTGAGAAATACTCAAATTTGAAAGCAATACCAAGTAACAAGTATGTGTGGGATTTTGGTACATGTGTTTCTTTCTTTCTTTCCTTCTGTTTTTTTAATATGCATTCTAATGAAGTACTCCGTGGTGGTTTCAGACTCGCCTTCATAATATACAGTTCAGTGTGGCCTGTGCGTGTTGTTTTGTGTTTCCTGCATTGATTTTTGCCTCCGTTTATTCTCTATTGCAGTCTAAAAGTTGGTTTTAATTGGTTGCCCACAGGATTGACTTGGCCTCTACTTCTTGTTAAGAAAATACATCTCTTGTTTTATCAGGTAAGAGATTTTGAATAGAGGGTTTGTTTTTATACAAAATAAAATGAGACAGTTTATTTAGTAACATGAAAATATGTGTAGTAACTGAATTGTGGGGGATTTCTTTTTCTTTTTTTTTTTAACAGTTTTATCTGAGGGATGGGGGTGGGTGGACTGGGTGCCTTGAACAGTTGTTGCTTTCTTCGGGGTTCAGTTTTATATGGATGCATTTCTTAGGCTGAATACCTGATTATTAGGCAGTAAGCTGTTTTTTTTCCTCAGGGTAGCATTCCAGACTCATTACAAATATAGGTGCTTGTTATTGGTATGGTTTTTTAATATTCCTTAGAGGTAAAGGTGTAGGTAATGGGTCATACGTTTTAGAGTACCTATTTTGACTTTAGATGGAACTTTAGTGATTGGAATCTAACCCTCTTGTTAAATAACAAAGGTAGGCTCAAGATAGTTGAAATGACTTACTTGTCAAACAGGCACTTAGTAGAAGAATAGCATATCTTATTTCATATTTTTTCAGAACCTAAAAACTTTTTCTCTTTAGATGGCTCTATGAATAACTCTTGTGTTCTTTGGTTTAATTCTCAGCCCTTTTCTAGCTGGTAATCTGGGCAGATTTTTCAATATCATGTTTTCATTTGTACCTTGTGCAGACTTTCACTAAAGCCCTTCTCTTAGTAGCAGATGGTTTTTTGAGAATTACTGTGTCTCTTTAGCCCTGTGTTTAATTTTTGTGTTCTTGGGACTATATTAAATTCCCATTTTACTGTCCCAGTGCAGACTAACATCTCTCTATCTCTCAAGTGTTTGGGTGCCTAGATTACTTACCCATGATTGAGTGATTAAGTGATCAAGCATTTTTTTGAAGTTGAACAGGAATGCTGTCTTAATTTTGCATGTAGCCAATATGCTACAGACAGTAGGGAATGCGAATTTGATTTAATGTCTTGAAATCTCGATGAGCTTCCATATAGACTGCTAAATAGTCGTAAATAAGAAGAAAAGAGTTTGTTGGTGTGATTTTTTTTTTTTTTAGTATTAATTTTTCTTGTTGACTCTTGCAAACCAAAAAGGAAAAGCTTCCCTCTTCCCCCAAATTTCTAGTGTTTTATAATGGTCTCACAAAGAGCATTTTCTGTTTGCCAGTCCATCTTCATTAAATTTGAAAGTGGCTTTTATTTTTGTGTATGTGTGTGAGAAAACTATCAAAGCCAAACAGTACATTTCTGTTTTGTGTACAGCAGTCATATTGGTTAAGATATAATTACAGATTTTGTTTTATCAAATTAATATTCACACAATATTTGACATTGAAAAACTGCTTTCGTGGAGTTACAGGATTCTTAGAGCTTGCAGTAGCTCTTTTAATGTTCCTGTTTGGGAAGTGATAAAACCAAAGCTCGAATCATTTATAATTTTTCTGAGGTCACAGAACTGGTTTAATAGGTTTATATTTAAAAGTTGATTTTTTTTTTAAATTTTATTTATTTGTCAGAGAGAGAGCACAAGCAGGGAGAGCGGCAGGCAGAGGGAGAAGCAGGCTCCCCTGCACTCTATCCCAGGACCCTGGGATCATGACCTGAGCCAAAGGCAGCCGCTTAACTGACTGAGCCACCCAGGTGTCCGTAAAAGTTGATTTTTTTTTTTTTTAAGATTTTATTTATTTATTCATGAGAGAGAGAGAGAGAAGCAGAGGGAGAAGCAGGCTCCCAAGGAGCAGGGAGCCCGATGCGGGACTTGATCCCAGGACCCTGGGATCATGACCTGAGCCGAAGGCAGATGCTTAACCATCTGAGCCACCCAGGCGCCCATAAAAGTTGATTTTTAAGATGACTTGGAAAACACCCCATGTTGCTGATCACATACATTTCAAATTAATATTTTTTCCAGTCCCAAGAATTTGTTTTATATCATTTTACAAAGGGCTTCCCTTGCATTTGCTCTTGGAAGGCGTAAGAACTGAAATACTGAAATTTTATTTAAATCTGGGAGAAACTTCTCCAAAAGAGAAAGTTCAGAATGGGACTTTATTTAAGAAGACCAGTGAGCTCCCAGAAATACCACAGGAGTTATATTGAGTAAAGACTGTAACAGTCACTGAATAAAGTTCATACCCTTGTTCTTTTTAAAACAAAAGCAAAACCAAAAAATACCCTTTTTTCGTTATCAGCCTTCTTTGGGAAAAACGAGACTTTTTTGGGTGTGTATGTGTGTTTCTTTTTTTTAATGGTGAGTTTGGAAATAAGTCATTGGATCTGAGTTTTAATTAAAACAGCTGTGGTGAATGGCACTGCAACCAGGTTCTACTTTTTGGAGTGATGAATATAGATAACTAAGATTTTGGCTATTTTATTCAGTATTTCTTTTGGATTCTTTGTATGTATTAACCTTGTCTGTAATAAATAATTCCATATATAGTTTTCTTTAATAAATAGAGCTGTAATGCAGATTGAAGAGTTTTAGGTTGAATATGGAATCCATTCTCTTTTGAGACTTGAGTCTACTTTAGTGTTAAGTATTATTTGTAATTCATTAGTATTCCAGTTTTCTGTTTCTGTTTTGCATTTTGAGATTGAGTCATATAAAATGACACTGATAATTCTACAAAGTTGTCATGTTTATAAGGAAAATGCTAAGCCACTTTTAAATACTAACTTTGATACATCCTTTGCATGTTTTTCCCCTGCAGATTGTTCAACTTTGTGTCCTGATTTGACTTACACATTTCTTTTAAATCTTACTGAATAATTAGTGGTCTGAATGATGTAATTGGTGATTCTACTTCTTATGGTGGTTTTTTTTTTCCCTGAAACTTTTGAGTCATGGGACTGAACTTCTAATTGTTTACAGAATTAATGCCTTTTGGAAGTTGAAATTGTCCAGGTTTTACATTGTAAATGGCACATAATGTTCAGTTTTTAGGATATTCAAATAAAAAAAAACCTGCATTGCTTGTGATAGTTTGAGGGTATATTTGAGGGCCTAATATGGTAGCTGGTCATTCTTGTAGTTAAAAACTTGGTGTGATAAACAGGAGTCTGACCTGGCCGTTGCCTTTTCTCATCTGCAGGTGTGTGTGGTTTCAGCGCAGCATGGCTGTGGTCATCCGTTTGCAAGGTCTCCCAATTGTGGCGGGGACCATGGACATTCGCCACTTCTTCTCTGGATTGACCATCCCTGATGGGGGCGTGCATATTGTAGGGGGTGAACTGGGTGAGGCTTTCATCGTTTTTGCCACTGATGAAGATGCAAGGCTTGGTATGATGCGCACAGGTGGTACAATTAAAGGGTCAAAAGTAACACTTTTGTTGAGTAGTAAAACGGAAATGCAGAATATGATTGAACTGAGTCGTAGGCGTTTTGAAACTGCCAACTTAGATATACCACCAGCAAATGCTAGTAGATCAGGACCGCCACCTAGCTCAGGAATGAGTGGAAGGGTAAACTTGCCTACAACAGTACCTAACTTTAATAATCCTTCACCCAGTGTAGTTACTGCTGCCACATCTGTTCATGAAAGCAACAAAAACATACAGACATTTTCCACAGCCAGCATAGGAACGGCTCCTCCAAATATGGGGGCTTCATTTGGGAGCCCAACGTTTAGCTCAACCATTCCGAGCACAGCGTCTCCAATGAACACAGTCCCACCACCACCAATTCCTCCAATCCCAGCGATGCCATCTTTGCCACCAATGCCGTCCATTCCCCCAATACCAGTTCCTCCTCCGGTACCTACATTGCCTCCCGTGCCTCCTGTGCCCCCTATTCCCCCAGTCCCTTCTGTGCCACCCATGACCCCACTGCCACCCATGTCTGGCATGCCACCCTTGAACCCGCCACCTGTGGCACCTCTACCTGCTGGAATGAATGGCTCTGGAGCACCTATGAATCTGAACAATAACCTGAACCCTGTGTTTCTGGGTCCATTGAATCCTGTTAACCCTATCCAGATGAACTCTCAAAGCAGTGTGAAACCACTTCCCATCAACCCCGATGATCTGTATGTCAGTGTGCATGGAATGCCCTTTTCTGCAATGGAAAATGATGTCAGAGATTTTTTCCATGGGCTCCGTGTTGATGCAGTGCATTTGTTGAAAGATCATGTAGGTCGAAATAATGGGAACGGATTGGTTAAGTTTCTCTCCCCTCAAGATACATTTGAAGCTTTGAAACGAAACAGAATGCTGATGATTCAACGCTATGTGGAAGTTAGTCCTGCCACAGAGAGACAGTGGGTAGCTGCTGGAGGCCATATCACTTTTAAGCAAAGTATAGGACCTTCTGGACAAACCCATCCCCCTCCTCAGACACTTCCCAGGTCAAAATCGCCCAGTGGGCAGAAAAGGTCAAGGTCAAGATCACCACATGAGGCTGGTTTTTGTGTTTACTTGAAAGGGCTACCATTTGAAGCGGAAAATAAACATGTCATTGATTTTTTTAAAAAGTTGGATATTGTGGAAGATAGTATTTATATTGCTTATGGACCCAATGGGAAAGCAACTGGTGAAGGCTTCGTAGAATTCAGGAATGAGGCTGACTATAAGGCTGCTCTCTGTCGTCATAAACAATACATGGGCAATCGCTTTATTCAAGTTCATCCAATTACTAAGAAAGGTATGCTAGAAAAGATAGATATGATTCGTAAAAGACTGCAGAACTTCAGCTATGACCAGAGGGAAATGATGTTAAATCCGGAGGGGGATGTCAGCTCTGCCAAAGTCTGTGCTCACATAACAAATATACCATTCAGCATTACCAAGATGGATGTTCTTCAGTTCCTAGAAGGAATCCCAGTGGATGAAAATGCTGTACATGTTCTTGTTGATAACAATGGGCAAGGTCTAGGACAGGCATTGGTTCAGTTTAAAAATGAAGATGATGCACGTAAGTCTGAACGCTTACACCGTAAAAAACTTAATGGGAGAGAAGCTTTTGTTCATGTAGTTACTCTAGAAGATATGAGAGAGATTGAAAAAAATCCCCCTGCCCAAGGAAAAAAAGGGTTAAAGATGCCTGTGCCAGGTAATCCTCCAGTTCCAGGAATGCCCAGTGTGGGAATGCCCAGTGCGGGAATGCCCAGTGCAGGAATGCCCGGTGCGGGAATGCCCGGTGCAGGAATGCCTGGTGCGGGAATGCCCGGTGCGGGAATGCCCGGTGCGGGAATGCCCGGTGCGGGAATGCCCGGTGCAGGAGGTGAAGAGCATGCCTTCCTGACTGTAGGATCTAAGGAGGCCAGCAATGGGCCTCCATTTAACTTTCCTGGTAATTTTGGTGGGTCGAATGCCTTTGGGCCACCACTCCCTCCTCCAGGATTAGGAGGGGCCTTTGGTGATGCTAGGCCTGGTATGCCTTCAGTTGGAAATAGTGGTTTGCCTGGTCTAGGACTGGATGTTCCAGGTTTTGGAGGTGGACCAAATAATTTAAGTGGGCCAGGATTTGGAGGAGGCCCTCAGAATTTTGGAAATGGCCCTGGTAGTTTAGGTGGCCCCCCTGGCTTTGGAAGTGGCCCTCCTGGTCTTGGAAGTGCCCCTGGGCATTTGAGTGGGCCACCAGCCTTTGGGCCTGGGCCTGGGCCTGGCCCTGGCCCAATTCACATTGGTGGTCCCCCTGGCTTTGGATCTAGTTCTGGAAAACCAGGACCAACAGTAATTAAAGTGCAGAATATGCCCTTCACTGTGTCTATTGATGAGATTTTAGATTTCTTTTATGGCTATCAAGTGATCCCAGGCTCAGTGTGTTTAAAATACAATGAAAAAGGTATGCCCACAGGCGAAGCCATGGTGGCCTTCGAATCTCGGGATGAAGCCACAGCTGCTGTCATTGACTTAAATGACAGACCTATAGGCTCAAGGAAAGTAAAACTTGTCTTAGGGTAGCTGTTCACATCAATTCTTTATAGGGTAGATTTTCATAGTGCTGTGATTAATGCATCCAGATTGTTTTCCTAGTATTTCCAGGTTAGAACCTGTGGATTGTTTCAATTGCATATAGATTGGTTTCTATAACATAGAGCATTGGTTGACTGTTTACAGAAGACTCACTACCAGGATAAATACTGCTGTATGTTACAGTAAAGCTGTCTGGAGAGAACACAAAAATGATTTTGGCGTACCATTAGAGAAACCATTTGTAAAACACAAATGACCACATAAAGCTTATCAAGGAGTTTAGATTGGTTTTGTTTTGTACCATATGGGATGAAGAAAATAGAAATGTCAATAGAGCTCATTAAGGGTGCTCTTGCCAGCTGCTGAAAAATAGAAGTTGGCTACTCTTGGAATTTGGTTTAAAGCTGGACAGATTTGCTTTGTTATAGGGTCAAAGCTTTGTCTAAAGTCCTCATTTTCTTCTAAAATTGAATAAAATCTCTGTATACAGATTCACTGTATGTACCTTTATTGCTTCTTGAGGGTTCTTGCTGTATAGACAGTCCTGCTTCTGAAGTTGCTGCTTTTTTGTTTGCCTAATTGACTCATTTGTAAATGAGCAGAACTGTTTTGTTGTTGTTGTTGTTTTAATATAAAACTCCACACTTGGTTTGTGCTATAACCTTGAACTTTGATTTCTAATGTCACACTTAAAACTGTGTGAAATAAGTACTTTTGCCACAAAAATAAAATATGGAGTCCTCTACCTACCAGAGCCTTTTTGGTTTGACCGCCATGTTTTAGTTTAGTCAGTTTAAAAATTGTTCATGTTGTTTAGATGGCATTGAAAACCAGAAACTACTTCTAATAATCATTGTTTAAGATGCCAGATTTGAAGTCCTGTCCATGATGGACTAATGTTCTGGCAATTTCCTTCTGTCCCAAATTTGTGTGAAATTTTGGCCTGTAACTAAACAAAGAGGGTCCATTTATAAGAAAGAGCATTATATTTAGGTTTTTTAAAAACTGAAGTTGAAATTGTTAGCTTTGTTAGCAGTAGTGTTACAGAATAAAAGACTCATAAGCTTTTCCATAGATGTGCATTTAATCCTGTTACTTGGAGGCTTTTTGGTCTAGTTGTTTGATCAGGAGCCTGTTCATAAAAATTCTTCATACAGAGTACAAGTGCAGCTGCCAGAGGGGAGAGAATTGAGACTCCTTGCCCTTTCATACTCTTCTTTGGTATTCAGGACACTAAGGCAGGAGGACCACATGGGTTCTGGTTGGTAAGTGTCCTTGTCATGAAAACATTTGCCTTACAACATCCTGCTCACTGCTACAAAAGGCTCTACTTATGGTTACTTTCCTTCTTAGTTAAAATGCTCTAAAGATGTGTCACATTATATTATAAACATATGGAATGGGAGATTGGTGAGATATCATGAAAAACAAATTTTGTCTTTTACATGGGCCTCTGTCTTGGTTTGAAATATCCCCAACATTTCCTGCAAATCAATGTACTTACAAAGGGGTCAGCCTTTTAAAAGAAGTATTTCCTATTAAAGAAAATAGTGCCTTTTTGGTGTTGCAAGTTAGTGGAACACTGAAATACAGCGTCTCGTGTAATTTAGAGTTAAGAGTGGCAGCAGTTTCATTGCGTGATAAGATTTGGAAAGCCTTTTCATCACTACAATCTTAGAGGATTGACAGTACAGGATTTTTTGTTTAGGGAAAGGATTGTTTAGACTTTCAAAGAAGACATGGCTGTGTTGTGGGTCTTTTGACAATTCATGAATACAAATTTGCTTTGACAGATCACTAGATATTGCCTCCTCAACTAAAAAAGCAATATGATGTTTATATATGCTGTTCAATTAAGTTTTCTGTTAAGTAATCATTTCTCATTCCAAAGACCAAGTGCAGAAAACTTCAGCGCTGCTTGGGAGTCTTATTTCAACTGCAGATTATTTTCCCATTGGAGAGCTGACTATTTTCATTTTAGAAAAATGGGTTGTTTGAAGATGAAAGCCTTTTATCTTTTTTCACAGTTTATTTTGGTTATATGTTCGTACAATCTTATTAAATATTTCATATACTTTATTGCAACTACTTTGTTATTTCTACATCTTAGATAAATGCTGAAAAGGAAAACTTGATTTCATTGTTCATCAAATTAAATAAATTAAGAAAATAGTGGTTTGTGTAGAATTTGGAGAGAACTATGTTTCATATTTGGTTGAGTCACAACAGTGCTTCTCTCGTTGTGAAATGTAATTAAATGCTTTGCCCTCTGGAACTTGATTTTTGTGTATCTGAGACTTATTAATAGAGTGCTAACTGCTAAGCGTACTGTTCATCTTGTTATGGGCATTGGAGTTTGAGTTTAAAAAAAATTCTTGAAAATATGTTCTGTGCAATCACTCATACCTCTCTTCCTGCAAATTTTCTCAGAAAAACTAGGTTTGGGGTGAAAATGAATTTATTTTCTCATTTGCTTTGTATGGTATGAAGGATTTGTAAAGCTGCTCAAAGTTGTGTGCATTTGTAAACACTATCATGATATTTTCAATTTTATGTGTAAATTTTGTCTTTGGTGACTGACACGAATGGAAGAGAATCTTTTCCATTAGGTTTAATTCCTCCCACCCCCTTGCCGGGGTGTTTTTGGATTTTTTTAGTTTAAAGGATTAGAGATATCTACGAAATGTATTTTATAAGTAAGCAAATTTGTAAACTTTTTCTGAACTTCAGTGAAACATTTAGTTCACAAGCAAAATTTGGAGGTGTATTCTGTGTTTAATACTGTAGTTTGGATGTACAATTATTAGTGGCTTAAAAAAAAATGCAACACTGTTAAGTGAAATGTAGTTCCTAGCTTTGTGCTCCAAGTTGTCAAAGCATCAACCGTGAAAATTTCATTAGGGAAATTTTTATTCAAAATTTCAGAGAGTAATGTTCAGTGTAATTAGGTCAGTCTTAACCCACTGGATGAAAATCTAGGGCTGTATATGGACATAAACAAACATACCTTGGATAAAATAAGGATCCATGAAAGCCTTAATCAAACTCAAAGTCCTTTTTATTGGATTCTGTCATTGTGTACAGGTGTGGGTCAAATGTTTAAAAATGAATCCACTCATCAATTTCAAGAACAGTTAATGAGTAAAGAAACCATAAAGTTGCTGCTAGTTAAATCTGTAAAGAATTTCTAGCAGTGATCACTTTTAAAACTTATTTACCACTTGCAAAATTACCACATTTAGTTTTACTGGCAGTTCTATGGTAGTCCAAGCGTTAGAAACCAAACACAATAAAATGATTCATTGCCAATATGGCCACAACATTGCCAGCAAATACTGCCGTGGCATCATTCAGCAGAGGTTTTTGTTTATAAAGATGAAGTCTTGAATACTGTTCAATAAACTTGTCACAAAATAAAAGAGGCTGATGCTTTTAATGCTTTACACAAGAGTACTCTACTGAGCTATACCATCAGGGTGTTTTTTGTTGTTGTTGTTTTTTTAAAACTCCTACAAATATTTTGTGCCTTTGGAAAGGTGGATTTGGTGATCTTGGAGGTAACCATTGTTGCTATCCTTGTCTGCTAATGGTCAAGTGTGGAAAGAAGATACCTGGAACGGCAGGGAGGAAACTTGATTCTAGGTCAAATCTGTGGTATCCACCTTTTCAGACTTTTATCTTGTATGCTTTGCTAGCAAGCCACTTCGTTATGTGGACTCAGAAAGAACCAGAAACCAGGTGCTCCTTTTTACAGAAGGTGTCTTAAAGGGGGCTATGAATTGTCTTTTTAAAAAACTGATTAAGAAATGGGAAAAATCTTCAGAATATGTTGTCAATTGCACATACTTCTAATTAGAGCTTTTTCTTTTTTGTTTACTTTTGCATTAGTATGTGAGGTATTTTGAGGTGGGGAAGTGGGGAGAGGAATCAAAAATACTGCTGCTTTCTGACATTGATGTTCTCGTTTTGTCCCTTCCACATTTGTTCAACTGCTGGAAAAAAAAGTAGCAAATGAAAAGTTTCCATGAACTCCGGAGTCCTTTTAAAAAAAAACCTGGATTGGAGTTGCAGAGAAATTAGTGGGCTATTCCTTTTAACCAAAGCTCTTGAAAAATATATATTAACTTTTACCTCTATCATGAGTTTTTAGCCTGTATTTTGAGTTTCAATACCCAGGTTGTTTTAAAGGGGTTTAGACTTAAACATACTTAATTCCAGGTGGTTGCTGAACTGTTCTAAAATTATGAAGGTTTGACTAAGCATTTGAAAAATCGCAGAGTGAAATCAGCTGATACCCAGATACCCAGAATGGCCTTTACCATCTTAAAAGGATAGACTGTATGCTAATAATATGTTTTGTTTTCTTGCTCAGGAGAAAACTCTCACTTTAATTCATTGTTGTCTGCTTTCCAGTGTTTTACAACAAGAAATGGTTTATTAGTTATGAGCATCGCCACCATTCTCCTTAACCCCCAAAAGTAGAGCTTTTATAGGATATGATAGAGTCCAAACTTAACGACTAAAAAAATTGCTTGATTTCAGTTTTGTCTTTTTAGTATAAAATCTGATAGATCACATTGACTTACTCTAAAATTTCTGGAATGAGTGTATTCTGGTGGTGGCACAGTTCTCTGATGCTGTAGTGACTTTTCTGGAAAAACCCTTCTGTCTGACAGTATGAGCAAGTTCATCTCTTAATGGTGCCTGTTCATGTAAATGTTAATTCTTTATTGTGCTGTTACTGGATTTATTCTTGTTGCCTTGTGCTACTTTGTGCCAGAGGATCTCACAAGCATCTTAGAATATGGCTCCTTTTCTGGATCAACATAACTAACAACGAGCAACTAAGGTGGCACTGCTTTTCTACATACTGCTCTACTACTGAAGAGTCCAGAAGGGGCAAAAAAGCCACTTGCTGAAAGCATTCTAGCCCCAGGGGCAGAAGGGCAGCACTCTAAAAATCTGGGGGTAACAAA